CTGGAGATGTCAGATGTCGACCCCATGTGACCTTAGGCAGCCTGTTCGAGACTTGCAGGGATCTGCTGTCTGTGGCTGACTCCTTTGGTTGTTAATCTAGTCACTCTGCACTCAGAAGTCAGGGTAAGCACGACAGGGCAGGGCATATTTCCTCCTGAGGTCTATCATTTTCCCTTAGGCTGCTGCTGCATGGTGGGGAGTGGTCAGACTGAGCACAAAGGCTGCTGCGGTATGGGGGATGACTCAGCACTGGGATCTTGGCGGCTACTCTCTTAGTTCTCTCCCCAAAGCCTCCATCCTTGGTCTATTTTCAAGAGTCCCTAGTCCATTCTGACCCACCCCTTTTCCAGAGCCCAGGGCAAATGGCTATAACTGAAAGTTTATGCATTGACTCTTTAAATGGCTCTTTGCATCTCCAGCCATCTGTTTCTGGCAAAGAGCTGCCCTGCCACTCTTCACAGATAGATGTTATCTGTGTACTTTTCGGGTTCTGGTGCTGTAGGCTGGGGATCCTAGCCTAGGGTTTAGACCCCGCATTTCTCAGGCGTATCCAACTGGCTGCTTAAATATTCCTCTGGTGCTTCAGCTGCTGCCTATGGGTTCCCAGCCAGCCCTTTCGCATCTTTGCTATACTCCCTACCAGTCATGTTGTGCTGAAGCTGATTCTTCTGTCTGTCCCTGGTTATAAGGTTTCTCTCTTGCTGTTGTTCAGTTATTTGTTCTGGGTGATTTCTCACAATTTAGTTGTAATTACAGATTGGTCCTGAGAGGAGATTAGTGTATCTTCTACTCACTCCTCCTTCATCTTGGATCTCCCTCTATTTATTTGTTTTTTGCTGAGAAATTTAGATATTTTCTTATGGCATAAATTTAAAAAAAAAATTTCCATGTTTCTCATTTTAATCATGGTGTCAAAAACTTAGAGCCCAAACCAGGGCAGATACCTCCTAACTTTTTGGCGGTCAGAATTACTTCTGCAAATTTGATTTCACCTATGTACAGAATTAATGAACACATAATTTTGTGCATTTCAAAGAGTTTTATGGACCTCACAAAGCTTATCCAGTGACCTCATATTAATGTTCCTCCACTGCTATTCTATTCAGTGTGGTAGCCAATAGCCTGATGCGGCCATTTAAAATTAAACACAATTAAAAATTTAGTTCTTCAGTCATATTAGCCACATTTCAAGTGCTCAGTAGCCACAGGTGACTTGTTGCTATGTATTGGACAGCTCAGAGACTTTCCTAGACTTTTCCTGAAGCAGTACTTTCTAGGAGATGATTGTGTTTACATATTCTAAGACATAAAAATATACGAAATGAGTTAGCCAGAAAATTATTTTCTGGGTGTATGATCCTATTTGATAGTTGTGATTTATGATCATTTCACCCTATATAAAATAGGATGTTCCAAGAACACCAAAATATTATAAATGTGATTTAAAGATCTTTTAGGGAAAAGTTTTTTTATTTATTCTAAAAAAGAAATAAGAATATAATTGTAATCTTGAAATATCCTGTGGCCTGGTGATATATTTTACCAATGTCTTTGTTAACATCAGCTTTTCTTAATACGTTTTTTAATTGTAGTACTCCTGGAATTTTAATATTCTAATCACTGTTAGTGTGCCATACTGAAAGGAGCCAAGGGAAAGGCTAAAGTTAGAGCATCACCATTCAGATGTCCATTGCATGTATGTATGTATGTATGTATTTTTGTTGTATCCCATTTATTTCACGTTTCTCATTTTTAATTATTAAAGTATAGCTTGCATACAATATTAGTTTCAGGTGCACAACATAGTGATTTGGCATTTATATATCTTACAATGTGGTCACCCTGATAAATCTTGCTACCATTTTTTACCATGCAAACTTATTAAGATATTATTGACTGTATTCCCTGTGCTGTACACTATGTCTCTGTGGCTTATTTATTTTATATCTGAACTAAAAGTCCTCTGCACAGTGAAGGAAACAATCAACAAAATAAAGAGACAATCTACTGAATGGGAGAATAAATTTGCAAATGATATATCTAATAAGCGGTTAATATCCAAAATATATAAGGAACTCATACAACTAAGAAAAAAAAACAATCTGCTTAACAAATGGGTAGAGAATGTGAATAAACATTTCTCCAGAGAAGACATACAGTTGGCCAACAGAAGTAAAAAGAGAATCAACATACTAATGATCAGGGAAATGCAAATCTGAACCATGATATACTCCCTCACATCAGTCAGAATAACTATTATCAAAAAGTCAACAAATAACAAGTGTTGGTGAGGATTTCGAGAAAAGAGAACCTTTGTGTACTGTTTGTGGGATTGTAAGTTGGTGCAGGCACTATGGAAAACAGTGTGGGGGTTCCTTAAAAAATTTAAAAAGGAGCTACAATAAGACTCAGCAATTATACTTCTGGATATTTATCTGAAGAAAACAATCACTAATTTGAAAAGATATAAGCACCCCTATGTTCACTGCAGCATTATTTATAATAACCAAGATACAGAAGCAACCTAGGTGTCCATTAATAAATGAATTAATAAAGAACACGAGACATGTATATATACAATGGAATATTAGTCACTCATACAAAGAATGAAATATTGCTTTTTGCGACAGCATGGATGGACCTAGAGGGTATTATGCTAAGTGAAACAGACAGATAAAGACAAATACCATATGATTTTACTTATATGTGGAATCTACAGAACAAAACAAATGAACAAACAAAGCAAAACAGAAACAGACTCAGATACATAGAACAAACTGGTGATTGCCAGAGGGGAGGGTGGTGAGAGGCTGGGTAAAAAAGATTTGCTTTATTGTAAAAAATCAGTATAATGTACATATAACTTCAAGACTATTGCAGCTGCATAAAGACCCTGAGTGGGTCATCTTTGTGCTTCCAAGGTGTCCAGCTAAGAACACCTTCCTTAGATATATTTTATCCATAAATGTTTTATTTTGTATTGGGTTTAACCAAAAGACTAATTTAATCCCCTTTGAATTATGTAGGCTGTAGATCCTAAATTTTTATCATTTCAATTATTCTACATTGCAGGGCTGGTACTTGCAAATAGGAAGAATGATTTCAAGTGCATTAAGTATTTTGGAGGATAATAGATATAGATGAATAGTATTAGGAGTTAGCCAAGAGTCAGACTTATCTACATAATACTAAAAGAGTTGTTTAAAAGTTAAATATTCAGTAGCTTTGCTCAAGTTGTATTTTTTATTTGTTTTAATGCCATGTAAACATATATATTACTAACTGTGGCAAAATGCTATTAAAATACATGGAGGAAAGAGCAAGACTTTGTGTTGTGAAGGAAAAGTAAATAGTTGAGTTCAGTAACATTTGAGATATGTAGGTTGGAAAAAGGTGAAGAAAAAGTAAGGGAACTTGTGTCTTACAACAAATTGCTTTCTAGTTCATTGTAATTTGTTAAGTATTTAGGAATAGAATGTATTCGTGCTTAAAGTGATAGTCATTTACCAAAGCTTTGATGATGTTTTTCTTATTAGAAAAATTACCTCCTTATGATGTAAACAATAATCTTGTGTTTCTGGCTTTCTTCTTCAAATATTGAAATCAACTTTTTTCTTTTTTTTAATTGAATTTCATTTTCCACCTAAAGTTAGGTACACCTTGTTATATTGAACGTCTAGTTTTCCCAGGGTCATTGTTTATTAGTCCCCTAAAAAAGAATTGATCTCAATCATAGATACTAGTAGACAGGAAGCAGTGATGTAGATAATACAAAAAAGAACCACTTTGGGTTGGCTTTGGGGCTTTGAAATTCATTTTTCAGCACATTTTCATCTTATGTTTTATGTAAGCATTTTCTTTAGACCCATAAACTGTGACTCTGAAGTACCTTGAGTGATCAAAGAAAGCTAGCCTGAAATTTAAACACTATTTCTGAACTGGCTGCATGCAGATAATTAAATTAATGGAATAACTTTATATTTATATTCTGTATATCACCTTACTCCCATGAACATATAACCACTAAAGAGAGTATAGATTCACTGGTCTTATTCATTCCGGGAATTTATTCACATCTTCAAGGTGCTTGGTTTTAAAGTAATCAATTAGATTGATTTCTGATCTATTTGGCTGACCTTGACTAACTGAGTATCTTGATGCTCTCTTAATTGAAAGAATTGCCTTATGGTGTCAGAAGACACTGGTTATTTTACCTCATGCCAATATGGCATGTTACTCTTTTTTTTTTTCATTTTTTTAATTAATTTATTTACTTTTTAAATACATTTGTCTCTGCCTTCCCCCCCCTCCCTCCCCCACTCCCCCTACCCTCCCTCCCTCAGCTCCTCCCCCCTGGTTTTGTCCATGAGTCCCCGCTATACGTTCCTTGACTTTCCCCTTCCCTTCCCTTTCCCTGCCCCCCCTTCCCTCTTGTCTCTGTTGATTTCCTTTCCTTTCAGTGTTGCTGGTCATATTTGCCTTGCTTCTTTGCATTGTTGGTTAGGTTCCGCTTATAGGTGAGATCATATGGTATTTGTCTTTCGCCCCCTGGCTTACCTCGCTTAGCATGATGCTCTCCAGTTCCATCCATGCTGTTGCGAAGTTTAGTACTTCTTTTTTTCTTTCTGCTGCGTAGTATTCCATTGTGTATATGTACCATAATTTTTTGATCCAATCATCTACTGATGGGCATTTAGGTTGCTTCCAAGACTTGGCTATTGTAAATTGTGCTGCTATGAACATTGGGGTGCATAGGTTCTTTTGTATTGGCGTTTTGGTGTTCTCAGGGTATAGTCCCAGCAGGGGAATCGCTGGATCAAAAGGCAGTTCCATTTTCAGCTTTCTGAGGAAATTCCACACTGCTTTCCATAGTGGCTGCACCAGTCTGCATTCCCACCAACAGTGGACTAGAGTTCCCTTTTCTCCACAGCCTCGCCAGCACCTGTTGTTTGTGGATCTGTTTATGATGGCCATTCTGACCGGTGTGAGGTGGTACCTCATGGTGGTTTTGATCTGCATTTCTCTAATGGCTAGTGATGCAGAGCATCCTTTCAAATGCCTCTGGGCCCTCATGTTACTCTTTAAATAGGCTTGAGAGGACAGCAGTTTGGATTAGCCATGAAATTGCTCAATGCGCCCTCTGCTGGATCTTTATTTTATAAGGTTGGAACAGAAAACTACTGTATTATCCAGTTGTACTGCGGGTTGAGAAAAGAAATTCCACTGTAATTATTACATGTGTTGAATTAACCCTAAATACAAATTCACAGGTATTTCTGGCACAGATAAGTCTGTCTCATTTAGCTAGTTTCAAAACTACAAGGAAGATTTAAAACGCTATTTAGACACAAAGAAACTAAAACTTTGTTATGTGCTTAGGAACTCCCCTGTGTTTTATGAAATAGATAATTTTATTTTATTATTGGCAATTAATCTCTCTGTAAACATGTAAACCAACTAAATTATTCTACCATTTTTATGAAATTATTACATTATAAAAATTATTACATTATTATGTAAACCAACTAAATAATTGTGTCACGAGAAAATATATGTGCAGAGGTGAATTTTAATTCAAGATTTCTGCAGGGTTTGCAAAGATGCATTTCCAGTCCCTACTTCCATCCCAAGGGTTTTATCTGAGCCCTAACTCTACAAATCAGCACACAATACTATAATTTTTGCTTATGGAGAAGAACAGAAAATTAGATTCAGTGTTTTCGTTAGCAAAATTACTTATATATTATTCTTGGCTCAAAATATTTTTCAAAATTCTGTGTGATGAAGTAATAAAAATAGCCATCAATTATCTTCCCAACAACTTCCTTCACAGTCAAATGGGGTTGTACAAAGTTCAGCTATAAAAATTGCACACATAACCACATTTTATTTGATTACATATTCTTTCTTATAGCTTCAGAAGAAGCAAAATACGAAACTAGAAAGAATGTAGAGAGCCTATTGTTTCTACTCTCCTCAGCTCCAACTGACACTCAGAAATAGAACTCGCCAGAATAAAGCTGGCTCTTTTCTTTATGAATTTGTTCCTAAGGCACCAAGATCAGCTTTTATACCCTGGAAGTAAAAAAGATTTTCATTTTATTAAACTGAAATTCTTCTGGACTCATTTACATCAACATCGTAAATTAAATCATTGTTTTCTAAAATGTCCTCAACTGCTTTTACCATTAACAAAATAGATAATAACAAGTGCAGAATAATGCTCGGAGCATTATACATTTGCCTATGGTGTATGTTAATCTTCACTGTTTTCTTTTTCTGTGGATGTTAATGGTATGTCAAAGACAAAGGTGAACTTGACTCAAGGACAGGAAAACAAACATATTAATAATGAATTTGGGATTATCTATTTTTTATATTTCAGTAGAATGTGGTACTTTTCTGTTTAGAGAAGACACTTTAAAAATATACATACTATTTCCAAGATCTCACTTTCATGAAATAAAAATATTTCCATAAGAAGTTATAGCATAAAGATATCCTTAGTTAATGTCAAATAAAACCCCACAAAACACCATGACTTCATGTTTTTAAAATGCAATTACAGATTAAGGGCACAGGTCAGTTAAATGGAAACCTAAAATGTCAGATTTCTAAAGTATTGCTGCTTAAAGGTGACATGTTTCATCAGTATTTCTGCTTTACTAATATTTTAAGTATTCATAGAGTGAGGAATAATAGACTGGGACACCTGTTTTTTTTTTATTTTTTTCAGAGAAGTATCAATAAGATATCCAAAAGTTTAAATGATTTTCAAAAATGAACAATGTGGATATTATTTGAGATTTTTCTTTGCCAGAAGTACAGTCCAAACATACAGAATAAAGAAAGTAGAACTCTACTTTCATTTTGAAATTATTTTGCAAATGGAGTAAAACTTTACTAAATCCACTTGCTTGAAGTTGGCCAGTTCTACAACTGGAATTGTAGAATGTTGTAATATTTCATTATTATAGAGAAAGGCCAAGACTATGATGAAAAGAAATTTGTGGTATATATAAGTTCTGCACTAGGATCAGTTACCTTGTACAAGAAAACCAATGTTTCTAGTGCCTTAGGAGATATTCATTTACATAAAAGCAATTGGACTATCAATTAAGATCATTTACATTGTTCTTTAAACAGATTTCTATGTTTAATTAACTTCAGTTACATTACTGTATATGTCTGAACAATTACTGTTTAAAAGGCCCTTTCATATTTCAGAGATTTCCTGTCAGATAAGCTTTCCTTTTAAAGTCTTAACAAAATGCAAAATACAAATTTGTTATTTTTAAGCAATGCAATAACACAGATGAATTGCTATGAAAGTCTTGCCAAAGGGAAGCACTGCTGGATATCCTTTAATGATTAGGCAAAAACTGTTTGCAGGAAAATATTTGCTATTATGTACTTCTTAAAGAGTTTCTAGTCTCTCAAGGCAGTTATTTCCCCACTCCTCTAAGTGTCAACCCCACTTATTTAACTTAGATCAAATACTGGTGAGAATTAAAGATAATTTTTTACTATACCTAATCTCATATAATATGTTACAGACCACTAAATCTACAATAGCTTATACAAATGAGTGAAAGAATAATGTTAATTTCACAATATTGTGCAGGGAAACAAGATATGAGCTATAATTTGTTTCCTTCACTCCATGACCCAGTGTGGGTGTAAGTACTCAGTGTAGGTGTATGAATCACAGCTGGCAATCCAGATAGTTCATATTGCCAGAGCTTTATATAGAAGCAGCCTAACAAAGAAGTCATGTCCCCTACTGCCAGCTGAAGGTGGGACACCAAATAGCTTTAGGGAGAGGAAATAGAGATTTAAAAAAAAAAAAACATTGTTAATAGCCAGCAACACTGTCACTAAGCTGAGGAACCCCAATATTTCTAGTGTTACCACACTCTACTGGATATAGACAGAATTGTGAAGCAGGTAAAACTTGGGAGAGAATATTCTCTCCTTTTCAGACATATTCATTTATTTCATTAGTGAGGGTCTAGTGTTAGTCAGCCACTTTGCTGTGTATACTGATACAAATGAAACAAGGTCCTCAGATCTCCAGCAGTTTAGTACTGCTTCCAGATCACACCTCATCCTATCTGCTATTTTGCACTCAAGTCACTATCAATAATTAATTCCTGTTATGTTATCAGTTAAAGTTATCAGTTATCAGTTATGTTAAAGTTAAGATGTTACCTTTCCCAGGACTATGTGCCCTTTAAACAGGGACCAATGACCCTATAGCTTTTAAAACACAAATAAATCCTTCTTTAATGATGGATGAAATTTCAGATAATATATCATAGGCATGAGGACATTGTTGGACAGGAGAATTCCTGGGACCTAGCAAATCACATCACACAGGTGACTGGCTCCCCAGTCCTTCTCAACACGGGGAGAACTGTAACTGAACAACAATAAAAATAAATAAATAAATAAATAAGCAAGCAAGCAAAGGAAATGACCCCTCCTGATTAACAGAAAAAAACCCATAGATATTAGTGGTAAGAAACATTGAAAATCAAATTCTACCATTAGTAAAAAGCAAAAAAGTTAATAACACTGAGTGAAAATTGAATGGATGATATAAATAGAAGACAACTTCATGTAGTGAATAGTCTAATGCCCTATATTTTTCAAGAGGGCACAACTAGGAACAATAAGTGAAAGTTAGAGAGTTGCACATTTTGGTGTAGTTTGAAAAATAACTTTCTAAAAACAAGCTGTCCAGCAAATAAGTGAACTGGCTTGTGAGGGTGATGAGTTCTCTGTCACTGAAAGTGAGCACATAGTAAATGGATGGTCATCAGACAGGATTTCATTTAAAGAGATTACTGAAGTAAGTGGAAGATTTATATTTTTTAATGTTTGGTCTATGAATCTATTAATCAGTGATAATTAGGAATCTAGGAAATACACAAATGGATATGTAAAAATACAAAAAATATGCAAAAAGCAAATTAACACAACCTAAATTATATTTATAGCTGCTGCATAGGTGCCAAATAAAGGAGGTAGCAGGGTAAACTATTAGTCAAGAAAGGCTTCTAATGGGAAATAAATTTTGTCCAAGATTTTAAAGTGAGAAACAGACATGGATAGGCAAAGAAAGGGAAAAATAAACCAAGAAGGGTGATGACTTCATCAGAATATTTTTACTATTACCAATTTTTTGAGTGTCTACTATACAATAGGCACCATGCTAAGTGCTTTGCTTAAATATGTCATCTCATTTAATCCTTACAAGCACTCTATAAAATAGTAGTGTAGTATCCACACTTTATAGCTGAGACAACTGAATTGGGAAGACTGGAATTCATAAAGGTTAAATAACTTGTCCCCAAGATCACACAGCTAGAAAACAAATAGTAGACTTGGTATTTAAATCCAAGTCTGTCTTCTTACAAAGGTCATGACCTAAATCACTACTGCATACCACTGCTTTTCATAGAATCCATGTTGTATCCCTGAAGGCTCAGAGTAGTTTGAAATGTAAAACTTGGAAAGACAGGACAAATAGTTAGCCATCAGTAAATATTTATTGAATGAATAGTAAGTCTTTGAATTTTAGATGAAAAAAGAACCCACATTTAAAAATATTTATTTATTTTTGTATTGTTGTTCAAGTACAGTTGTCTTTATTTCTGCCCCACCAATCCCTGCCTCTCACCCTCAGACCTACCCCCTTTGGTTTTGTTCATCTGTCCTTTATACATGTTCCTTCATGACCCTTCCTCCATTTCCCCCATTATCCCTCTCCACCTGCCCCTCTGGTTACTGTCAGTTTGTTCTTTATTTCATTATCTCTGGTTCTATCTTGCTTGCTTGTTCGTTTTGTTGATTAAATTCCACTTACAGGTGAGACTATATGATATGTGTCTTTCACAGCCTGGATTATTTCACTTAGCATAATGCTCTCCAGTTCCATCCATGCTGTTTCAAAGGGTAGTAGCTCTTTCTTTTTTTTATGCTGCATAGTATTACATTGTGTAAATGTACCATACTTTTTTTTTTTTATCCATTCACTGGGGGAATGAAGACTGGTGAAGCCACTATGGAAAACAGCATGGAATTTCCTCAGAAAACTAGAAGTGGAACTGCCTTTAAACCTGGCAATCCCACTGCTAGAATTATACCCTAACAATCCCGAAGCACCAATTCAAAAGAACCTATGCACCCCAAT